GGTATTCTCTTATTTAATGTAAACTCTCTTCTCAAGGGTGAGTTTTCCCCATTCCCTATTTTTCACCCAGCAGTCACTCCCACCCTCATAGATGTCTGGGATGTTTCACAACCTTGGAAGGTAGAATCATTAAGCATTTCCCTTAGGATAAACAGCTCCCAATTTTATAAAGTCTTGAGTCTTCTTAGGAGACCTCCAGCAACTTTGGCTTCATTTATGTCCCCTCAGATGGATAATGTTTGACTCTATGAGGAAAGATAAAAACCAGTCTTTAAAGATTTTTTTAAAAAATGATTGTAGATACAAAGAAACTGTAAGAGTGACAACTCATATATTAGTAATAATGTTTATTGTGCATCTACTTTATGCCAAGCATTAGCCATATGAGGTGAGCGATAATAGCCCCATTTTCTGGAGGGGATAAAAGAGGCTCAGAGGTATTAGACCTTTTGCCTAACCGGGGTCATACAGCCCCTGAGTGAGAGATATCATGTTTTTCCCACTGTGTCCTGCTGCTTTAGATTCATAGCATGTTACAGTGTTTATTTCCATCCCTGTGTTGAGTGGCCATTCATGAGTTCAAGGAGTAGCAGCTGCTTTATCTTTAGAACATATATACCCAAGCCTTCAAACTGAAAATTGGAGGGGAAATAAACCCTGATCACAGGCACTATATTTCAAATGCTTGTAAACCACCACCTAACTTTCTTTCAGACACTGGTAGCTTTACTTAAAACAGATTCCCTGAGCAGCATTTTTTTCATGAATACAAGCAATTGCTGCACAGGAGATCTAACTTCCAATTTGTTTGGCTTCTGATTGTTGTGGAACCCTCGTTTACATTGCTCTTGGCTGGTTCTTTCTTAGGCACCAAATGTTTTGTAATTAGTTTCAGTCATAATGATTATGAGCAATGATTGCTAGGTGTCTAGGGCCTGTACAGCTCTTCTTCAACAGTTAAGATCTGACCCTGATTAGGAGTTCTGAGAACAATTGAAAAAAAATGGAGATGAGCATTGCAGCGATTACTGAAGTTGCCATTGATGGCTGCGCAACAGGATCTGAATGGCTAATTTATGCTTCATTCCTCATTGTAGAAGTAAATGTCATGGGAATAGGAAGGAGGCTTGGGGATATGAAAGAATTATGCAAGAACATGTGAGCTGCTAGTTTAATAGGGGGAACAGATGCAAAAGGATTTTTCCCCTTTTTTTCTAATAGGAAATTATTATGCTTTAGTTGATATTGTACCTAATTGGTATGGATTTTAGAATTTAAATGATGTCTGCCATCCTTATGAGGTCCCTTTGAGGTAAAAGGCATAGGTTGAATAGTCCCACGTAACAGGGTTAGTAAGAATCAGCCAAAAAAAAAATGAGTCTAGGTCTTCTGGATCCCCTGATTTTTGTTTGGTTGACTCTCATAGATTAAATAGATGAATATTTAGGAACTTGTTATATGTAATGAAAGATTAACAATTTTATAGATGTTTAAAAAAAATCCCTGGTGTTCTCATAAAACCAGAAGTGGAGAGTGGCAGTGTATAGTAAAGGTGAATTGGATGGGGGGAAATTTGTCTTACCAGAAATTTTCATTATGGTCTGATTGGGCAGGAAGAAGGCTAAGATGCATGGTAAAACAACATGTACTTTGATTTGAGCCCACAATAGCCACTCAGTACATACTTGTCAAATTGCATAGCCATTTGGAGAAATTACATTGTGACGCTTTAACTCGTTATATCAGTTTTATAGAATTTCTCAAGCATTTATTAACCACATGCTCACGCAAATGGCCTTTATATTTGCAACTTATATAGCCACATTAAATAGTCCTTTAAAATGTGAAGGAAAGAAAATAAATTTTCTGAATGATGAAATGAATTAGGATTAAGGATGCATATAGTACCAAGCTAGGCTCTTAAAGTATAAACTAACACACACACACTTTCCTAGACATAATGTAAGTTGTGGAAGCCAAAGTATGGTTCATGGTGGGTGTTGGACAGGGGCATGTCAGTTTCAAATCAGTCCCCTCTTCATTAGGCCATTTCTCTTGTACTCCGAAGTAGCTATGTTATATATGGCTACATCAACCCATAAACTCTTAACCTGAATGAGGAACTGTAAGATAATGTTTTATTTTTTCCATAAACTGTTCAGTGATTTAGTGTTTGACTTTCAGCACTTTGTCAAAAGGCTAAAACTTGACATTCATTAGAAATTTTAAATTAAAACTAAGCTAGAAATGCCACACTGTACGCTACCCCACCCCTAAAAACCAAAATGACTCTAGGTGACATTCATTAAAAATGCAAGTGAGTTTTGACAGTTACCTACTAAATAAGTGTGAAAGCACAAGTCAAATAATTCTGAATGTCTAGTTTCTTCTGATGTGTGCCAATTTTATGAGCAATATAATAAAAATTCAGTATAAGGAAGGACTTGTGGTTACTGTTGGAATCCACTCTTTTTAGTCATGAAATATTAATAGCACTGGCTTGACATAAGGCTTGCATATTGTTCCCAATGATGACGAGGCTTTATTTTTCCAATATGTGATAGCTATGTGTGCAACACACTGGTCATGTAGTAACGCAACCCACATGTGCCTTCTTTTATGTCTTCCATGAGCAATCACCTCTGGGCAAGGATGCTAGCAAAATTCAAGCATGGTGTGGAACATGGACCAGATGGCATTTAAGCTCCCTTCTCAATTTTGAACTCTAGAAAAGTGCTGCATACATTTAATCATCTATGTTAACACTTAGTTGAAAGAGTTCTACACAAGAAAATTTTTCCCCAAGACAGTAAGAAAGTCATTCCTAGGAATGTAACAGATTTATTAAAAAACACAATTCACTGGAAAGACATTTTCTCTTAATTAAAACATTAATGCTTACCCTGACTGCTTCACACTCAACACAGCCCCTGAGTTGTTGGTGGTTGCAACCGACAGGTGAAATGGGAGACGTTTCAGTGGCTATAGCAGTTGTTCTCAAACTTTAGGATATATCAGAATCACAGATGGCTGAAAATTTTGGCCTATCTACCAAGCCATTTGGCATGTGGGCAAGCCAGTTGCCTAGCTGGTGCTGAGAGTGCCCTTAGCAGAAATGGAATGAAGACCAGCAAAAGGGACCCTCCAGGGTTTCTGATTCTGTAAGTCTGGGGTGGGGCTGCGAATTTGCATTTATAGCAAGTGCTCAGGTGATGCTGATGCTGCTGGTTCCAGGCCCACACTTTGAGAACCACTCGGGATTTTGGAAAGAATAAAAGGCCATCCCAGGTAGCTGATTGGTGTGCTTCTTGTATTGTTCCCCTAGCTCTTTGTGCACTTTCTGCCCTCTCACTTTCAGAGAGAGAACTTTGGTAAAAACGGCAGGCTGCACACTTAAAATGGGGTTGAGTTGACCTGCCTATTTGTTTACTATGCAGAGGGAGTCAATTTCCCTTTCTTTCTCTGAAGAAAGCCTAGTAAATAAAAGGCAAGCAATAGTAGGGAAAAAAATAGATAAAAGGAAAAGGAGAGAAGCAAAGAAAAAAACCCACAAACCATATGTACAATGTTTGAAAAGCTGGAACTAGAGGAAACTGTGGACTTCAGCCTCAGGCCTCAAAGCAACAACTAAATGATGAGTTAGGGGCTGAGAGGCATAGGTGTAGAATCTCCTTGCATGTCAGGAAAGTCACACACATATATCTCCCTGCAAAAGACTTCAGCTTCCTCAGTCCAGGTTTTGAAAAGCTATTTGGAATTACTGGCCACTTTCTGAATTGCCCACCCAATGTGAAAAGAGAACGGTTTTGTAGGACTATTGCATTTTCTTAAGCTCGCCAATATTCTGGCTTTGAAGTAAGTGTCATATTTTCTTTTCTGCTCCATATTTACTCAGAGGCAGTTTCTTATTTGATGTGGTCCTTATATTTTGCTTTGGTATTTGTTATATTTCCTGCTTATAAACTTGATATCACGAGGTGTTTATTTTTATAACAGGCAAGAGATTCTTTAAGAATGATTAATGTTATAGATACACTGTTGGCTTGTTTTTTTCATTGAAGTTCCTGAGGAAAGCTTCAGATGTAAACTAGTTTGCCATTTGTAGTTAAGAGATTAAAATCTCTAATACTTAGGCTGTGGCTATATGGTAGCCAAAAAGTTGATCTGAAATATACTGTATTTATGATTAAGTTCATTATGCATTCTTCTCTCTCGTGCATGTGCACACACACACAAGGAACATTGAAAATAGTCACATGATGTTATTGTATGAATCCTTTAGAAACCCAGATCACTGTATACTCCCAAGTTGTACTACTGTCACAGAGAAACACCCAGGAACTTAAATTCAGAAAACTCACGTGCTTGCTTGTAGGGGCGTTTGAGTATGTTTCTTGGCCTCAAGCATTTTCCAGGCAGCTATAGTGCATGATTGTATAGATAAATAAAAAGGAGAAATGAAAAAGAAATTTATGCCCAAGTAAAATAACAACTTTTGAAAACACATGTCCTGGTCTTAGGTTACAATTAGGAGGCATAATTAACTTTGGCTTATATTCTGAAGTAAAAAATTCTGGGAAATCTCATGTTTTAGGCTTAATGTGCCCATTTTCCCCCCCAATGTTTCTTTATCCACCTATGACAGAGAAAGAGAGAGAGAGAGAGAGAGAGAGAGAGAGAGAGAGAGAATACGTGTGTGTTGTACTCCTGAGAAGTTGTTGGTTTACATTTTCATTTATTTTCCTCTCACAGACACCTATGTAAGTGACTTTGTGACATAGTTTTCCTTTCATTGACAAATGTTTCGTACATACAAACATGTTTTCTAGTTTAGT